CCCCAAAACCCCAAAACCCCAAGCTCTTCAAATCAGTAAGTATTGAGATTAAAATAATCTGACATATAATAAAATAATATAAAGTTTAAAATGGAGGATTTTGACCTACTCTACATGATGAAAACTCCCTTTTACATGGGAAGCTTCGATAAAGTTCTAACTGAAGGGGAAACAATCGAGATCAATGAGGAAGATCAAAGAAATATCTAGTTAAAAAATCTGCTCATAGTTAGAGCCCTTACAAGCAGAAACGATTTCCCTTAGCTTAAGACTTTTATGCAGAATCTATTTAATGATCCAGTTTAGAAGGGAGAGGTTGCAAATTACTCTCTTTTAGTTTAATATATTGCATAAAAAGTAAGTTCGTATAAATGCTTATCAATGATTATAGAAAATAGATGTGTAATTCTTGCAAAATACATTTGATTCTTGGATAAAAGATCCTACCAAAGTTTAAGCCAACACGACATTATTCACACTAATGGTATACTACTTTTACATTGAGGAAGATTACAATAGACTATTCTATCTTTTGAACAATACTAAAAACCTTGAATAGTAAACTATAAGAATGAGTTTTAATATTTCAATCTAGTCTTTGCTTAAAGCTTGTTGGGTACTTGAGAATAAACAGACCAGATCTAGGAGAACAAGTTCTCAAGTCTATGAAATCTCTTGATGAAGATAATTGCCTTACTACTCTCGCTCAATGCTGGTTGAATGTAATTCTCACAATAATTAACCTTATTCATTTTATAGCTAAACTAATCAGGATAGAACTTCAACACAGATTCACTGATAAATATCCTGAATGAATTAGGCGAGAAATATGGATATACAACTAAAACCTACAATCTTCTTGCTATATCGTTACTTTTAAAGAATGATCTAGACAGAGCACTTAAGATTTTTGAATCTGCTCTCAATGATCTGAAGCTAGATACTCCAGAGGGAGAGTAAAAGCATCTCTATGTTGGTAACAATGACCTAGCTTCGTTACTTGTGAACTATATCAAATGCAACACTATGAAGACTGGACTCGGCTTGGGCAATGAATACTTTAAGACTGATGAGTTGAATAAAAGATTGTTTATATATGTGCAAAAAATAAACCAAACCATGCTGCCTGAGTTCTTTGAAGAAAGGAAAAAAGCAGATAAAATGTTTGATGAAGCTTTAAAGCAATTAAATTGAATTAAATAAACATTTTAATGCTAAGATCATCATTATTTTTCAAAATTAAATTTATTTTAAATCAGTAATGTCTTTTCTAACGCAGCAGAGTGCCATGCAAACAGCATCTATAATTGACACAAAATCTTATGATCTCCAATGCCCAAATGAATCATATGACAGCTTGGAGTTAATGACTGATGAAGAGTTGATGTTTGATGATGACAAACTAAAGCATATCAATATAAAGAATTTTAGTTCAATTCATAGAGACATTAAGGATAAGTCGAATAGAAATAATCAACAGCAAAGCAGATCACCATAAAATTAAAATGATTACAACTCACAGAATTATAATTCAAATAAACATACATAAGATGATTTAAGCAATCTTATGAAATACCAAAACTAAAGAAGTCCGATAAGAAATCTAAGTACAGTACAAATATAAAGCCAGGAATCATAACGTTTAACTTTAGAATCAAATAATCTCAATATTAATACCCTTCCACAGGAAGCAAAAAGAAGACAATAAAGCACAATTTATTAGGTAATTTTTAGATAAGGGAGCAAAAGTAGTTTAAATAAAGGTACATTTAGTATAACAAGCACTGATTAAGTGAAGCCGCTTAATGAAATCAAGAAAAATGATGCTAAAAATGAATTTATCTATTAGAGAGGAGGGAAATACAATCTTGATTACTATGTTGAAAATTCTAAATTGAAATCTTATGATATGAATAGTCAAAATTCTAAAGTTTAAGTTAATACCCACAATTAAGCATCAAGTATCAATAAGTCACCTCAAGTCACAATTAAAATATAAGGGGAATCCAAGACTAGAGGCTAAAAGAAATAATCTATTGCTAAAACATTAACCTCAATTAAGAAAGCTGATGAAAATTCAAGACAATAATCAAGATTGACTAAAATGTAGCAAGGGTCTCAGTCGCATAAGAGGATGTAAACTATCAATAAAAGTAGCAATAAAATCAATTAATTATCAGATATTAATAACAATCTAAATAGTAAACTACTTTCAACCAATCAATTTAAAAAAATGTAAGAACCTGTAAGAAGTCATAGGAATCAAGCTAATCAGAATATCCCTCTGATACAAACTCAGGAACTATTTAAGGGAGATAATCCTGGGGTTAAAAATAACAATAAAGATTTTAAACAGAAATTCCAATTGACTGAAAAGATTCAAAACCCTTCCCCGAAAAAATAGAGCTTTGTGTCTTACAAGGGGAAGAGTAAATAAGGCAGTAGTGTTAAAAATCAAAATCTTGAAGGAACTGGTAGCATCATAGGCAATTAACCTAAAAAATCATCTAACAAGGGTAATTTAAATGTAAAAGTGTTTGATGATAATGATGATTCAATGGAAGATTTAATTGAAAGTAAGAGATAAACACCAATCATTAAAGTCAATAATTTATGTCTGTAAATGTAAGCATTAAGCAACAGACCTTCGAATATCAATCCTAATAAGCGATTATCTAGTATCAATAATTCGCCCTCTAAGTTTAATGAGTTTGAAAAAGATGAAGTCAAATTACGAATAAAGACAGTAGTAAATGAGATTTAAACTAGAAAAGCTTATGCTCCTAGTTTATAAGTTTATAACTTGAGTGATCCGCAATTAGAAAATGATGACGATATTGTAGATGACGATATCTATACATTCAGTAATATGTACAATAGAGCCATAAAACCTTAACCTGTGTAAGTCAGGAGTGGACTCAATTTCAATAGAATAGGATCACTTAGTGACTATAAGGATGTTGAGGATAATAATGTATAGTTAATGAATAAATAAGGGTGGCTCCATAAAAGAACTGAATCAGCAATTTTCAAGAAATTTAAAAGGAGATATATGGTCTTAGAAAGCAAAAAGCTAAAGTACTATGAGGATAGTTCGTAAAGTAAACTAATTGGGTGTATAGATTTTGACCTGATTTAGTTTGAAATCAAAGTTTCAAATAAATCAACAGCTAAAGTATTCAAATTGATACTTTTACATCCATTAAATGGTAGCTCAGAAGGGTCTAGCACTACTCATTCTGCAGCAATATAATCTAATAGCTCCTAGAGTGTATAAAGATCTAAATTCGTCTTTATGACTGAAACAACCAAAGATTTGCATGAATGGGTAGATGCTATAAATATTCACCAGAGATAAAGTGAGGGATTCAAAGGGGGTGAGGCACTTTGAGTCATATTTGAAAAGAAATTTTGGAAGAGTAATCGTATAAGTATGCAGCAATTTGAAAACATTGCAGATAGCGGAGATATCTTACTGTTTCAAAGTAAAAATCTTGCCTCAAAGATGCAGAGAATATTTACACGCTCTAAATATGATCATATAGCCTTAGTTTTGAAGTATTCAAGTGGTAAGCTTGTGTTGTTTGAGAGTCTTAGAGATACTGGAGTGTCTGTTTGTGAATGGAATAAATTCATTAATAAAAAATGGTTCGATATGTACAATAAAGTAGTCTTCAGGAAGTTACATTTTCCTAGATCATAGGGGTTCTCAACTGTAATTGAGGACTTTGTTTAGTAATCAGTAGGCAAGAAGTTTAAAGTCAATGCGAGCAAGTTATTAAGAAAAAAATGCGAATCAGACACATAAAGTGTAATCAAAGGAGACAAAACTTATTTTTGTTCAGAACTAGTTGCAAGTGCCTATAAAAGATTAGGTATTTTGGAATATGAATTAGCGGCTTCAAAGTATTGGCCTGGAGATTTTTCATAAGAAAATGGTGAAAAGCAAGTTAAATTCCTTAATGGAGCTAAATTAGGTGAGGAATTACTTCTAGATTTTATCATATGATAATTATAAAGTTACTTTTTAATTTAATAATCACCTCTTTAAATTAATGAATAAGCCAATGTGGGGTTTTGGGGTTTTGGGG